AAATTTTAACAATAAATAAATAAATAAATAAATAAATAAATAAATAAATAAATAAACAAACAAACAAACAAACAAACAAACAAACAAATAAATAAATATTTTTCTGCAGACTTTGGCTTCAGTAAAATTTACATTGTGAAATGTAATTTCCAGTTATCCTGTATAAAATTGTGTCCTTTTGACTTCTTGGTCAGTTTTTAAAGTGTTAGCATGACATTGTGAAATACTCTATTTTGATTACGTCAACTTTTGGGTTCCAGAGGCCATACTTATGAAATCATTGTTTGGGAAGCATTAAGGCCTTAATGAGTCACATACTGATGCAAATTCAGCAAGCCAAGTTATCTGTAGTGGAACCACTGGGTGAAGGAGATGGGCCCCCACCAGGGGGAGCAGTGGTGGGATTCAAAAATTTTAACTACTGGTTCTGTGGGTGTGGCTTTGTGGGTGTGGCATGGCTTGGTGGGTGTGGCTTTGTGGGCGTGCCAGGGGAAGGATACTGTAAAACTCCATTCCCTCCCCACTAGAGAGGAAGGTTACTACAAAATCCCCCTTTCAGCTAGGACTCAGGAAGCAGAGAATAGATAGGGGCGGGGCTAGTCAGAGGTGGTATTTACTGGTTCTCTGAACTACTCAAATTTCCACTACCGGTTCTCCAGAACTGGTCAGAACCTGCTGAATGCCACCTCTGAGGGGGAGTAAAGAGACTTTTCAGCTTAAAGTCTATTCAGGGGGAAAGCATCTGAGTTCAAACCCATAGTTCTATGTCTGCTGTTTACCAATGGAAGGCAGGCAGTCTGGCAAAATTCTTCTAATAAAGAAGATCAACAATAAAATATCTGTTTGGGCCTAACCATGAGTGGTTCTGGTTGCTTACACCTGACAATATTCTATGTCTGATTCTCCCCCCCCCCCCCCAAACACACACAGTTCATTTTATTAAAATGTGTTAAATCTACCTTAGGATTCATAACACAGATTGCCTTTGTAATTCTTGCCCTACAATGGTGGAAACCATTTTGGTTAGAGAGGGCTATAAAGAAGAGCTTTTGGTTTTAAGTTAACCATCGTGGCTTAGGAAAAGAGCTGTGGTGGTGCAGTGGTTGGAATGTAGTACCGCAGGCTAACTCTGCATTCCACTGCCAGGAGTTCGATCCTGACCACTTCAAGATTGACTCAACCTTCTATCCTTCCAAGGTTGGTAAAATGAGGACCCAGATTGTTGGGGGCAATATGATGACTCTGTAAACCACTTAGAAAGTGATGTAAAGTGCTATGAAGCGTTATATAAGTTTACATGCAATTGCAAAATCAAAATTAATGTTTAGGTGCTTCAGCATCTTTTTTTCTCACTCGCATTCATTCTCATGAATGACTTTCCCTTCTCTGGTCCCTAAATCATGTTAAAATGCTGAACAAATCAACAGTTAAAACTACAAGTCACTACTGTGTCACAGTTTATGGACTATGTGAAGGAAAATATTCTTTTTCCTCTGTTTGCCTGCCATGCCATGTACTTGCCATTATTCTCTGGAATGTGAGACAGTCTATTTTTGTACTCCACTCTTCTAAGAAGCTTTCCCTTCCACACAGCATGGGGAAACATTGTTTGGCCTATAATGTAGAACAGACACACAAACAAAACATAGGAAATGTTTGCCCCCATGGGTGCATATGATTACACATATATCATGATATCATCTCCCACATGCTCCATCTTCTGAATGTGTATCAGATCTCATGACACAGATACAGTATATAATCACATTATATCAGTAGGTTGATGTTATTATCATTGTTATGGATACCTACTGATTGTTATGGGTACCTACTGATACAAAATCAATAGAGAAAACTTAACTAGATATAAGCAACTCTATCAGTTTCATTTTTTCTTGGTTACTTTTTATTAAACTGTCAATTTCAGTTTGTCTCAGTTTCTTGTTTTTACAAATTTCTGTTGAATTTGAGATTTTTCTAAGGCTACACAATAATGTTCGACTCTAAAACATATACTCTTTTTTCCTATTTTTTTTTTAATTTTATTGACTTTGTTATATATATTTTTCTTCTAAAAGAACAGTCTGAGTTCGTTTGTCTCCTGGGCAGTTTAAACATTGAAATAAATAAATAAGTAGAAGTGAGCATGCTATATGGAGACTCGTGAGATTTTAAACAAACTTTGGTAAGGCCTACCTATGACCTCTTATGGATGGAAAAACTGAAAGTTAAGCAAATGTGCATTTAATCTGCTAGGAGATGAAGTTGGGGACTTAGCTTTATGAGCCCAGGGGTGCAACATACCAACTAGGTAACTCATTAGACTTCATAATTTTCTGCAAAAAATTAAACTAATGAATTAATGAAAGAATGAAAGCATTACATTTTTCTACTTTAAAAACAAACCACTATTAATAGTTCTGCATATGAAATCTTATGCAAAAACTCTACTGATGGGTATCAGTTTGAAGCAGTGGTGGGATTCAAATAATTTAACAACCGGTTCTCTGCCCTAATGACCAGCTGTGTAGGCATGGCTTGGTGGTCATGTGACTGGGTGGTCGTGGCCAACTCAACGTCACTCACGTTGATGGGCGCTTCGTCTTAGCTGTTAAAATGTAATAGGGGTAACTGGAAAAGCAGTTTCAGTAAGCGAGGACAATAAAAATTAGGCTAGAAACAACACCAGAATGTTTCCTTCCTGCCTTCCTTACAGGATTAGCCCTGTAAAGTGGAAAAAAACAAAATAAGATTTCTTCCAACAACTGGTTCTCCAAACTGCTTAGAAAGTTATCAACCGGTTCTCCCGAATAGGTGCGAACTGGTTGAATCACCACTGGTTTGAAGAGAAATGGCCGTCTTATGTAGAAACATGTAAAATCAAAAATAAGAATTCTAACTAGCCATAAAATGCTAATAATAAAATACTAAGTAATTTCTGAGCAATCAATGACATATTAATATAATCTAGGTTTTTAAAAAATTAAGGGAAAGCATTTTTCTTTTAATTCTCACATCTGATCCTTTTTAATGGAATATCTTCCCTCTGCAAATAAGCAGAACAGGCCAAATATAAAGCTTAAAGCTTTTTAAAAAATCATTTATTTAAACAATTCCATATTTGAAAGAAAACTCAAAAATCAACTAGTGCAATCTTCACCAAAGCAAAAAGTATTGTAACAAGAACTCTGACAGAAAGGCAGCCAACCTCTGCTAAAAAATCTCTTAAAGTTTTCATCTCCACTTCCATCAGGAAGATCTTCCTAATATTTGCCCTACTGGATTGCATCTTGCTCTGCAGAATAATGATTCTTCTATCAGCTATCTCTCAGGCTTCCATAACTTGAAATAATTATCCTATCACCTCTTGATGATATGTTCTCTAGGATAAGCATATACATTTTTTTCAGATGTTCCTCCTAAGCTTTGATCTCTAAGTCTTCATCATTGTTGCTGCCTTCTTGTAGACATGGTCTTCATCAAACTTGACATATCCTTGAGTATTCTGAATCTGTAAGCCATATCACCTTAGTTTAAACTAAGTGATAACATGCTTCTTCATCCCTCAAATCTCGGTGTTCTTATAATAGGCATATTTACTCAGATCTTGCATTTTGATAGTTCATATCAATAGGGCTTTAGAAATATTGTGGGGGCTTGCACCCCATACCTTTTAGATGTCAGTAGGTTGCCTTCCCTGAGCCTTAAGATAGTATACACTATAAAATCTATATAAATGAACAAAATGCCATATGCTAACCTTTAGCCTTCTAGGTGCTCAATTCATCCTTAGATTAATTATATGCTTCCTTATTGCATGACGCAGGGTTTTCTTGCTTCAAGTTGCACATTTTTGTTCCTTCTGGTGCACATTCATTCCTTTCCCCTTAAATTTCTCCAACAGAAGTCTTGTTTTCCTCCCCATGTGCAAGACAGGTTGTGTTATTCTTTTCTCTCCCAAGAGCTACCTGTTTCTTCAGGTTTCCAATATGGATTTCTCCTGTTTGTCTCATTATTGACAATTCCTGGTCTCTGATACCTGTTTCCATCACATCCGGCAGCTTGTTAAAATTGTCAGCAGAATTCCCCTCAGGGTGCCTTTCAGAACATGTGTTTTTAACTAAGCAATTTTCATGGATTTCTTGAATTGCGTCCCTAGAAGCCTTCACTCTGGAAATTTCCTGACAGCTATTCTTATAGTTAGTCTTAGGAGACAAATCAGGGCCAGATATTGCCTTATTGAGTTTGAGATTTACCTCAGTCTCATCTCTACTGACATCCTCGATAAGGCCCCTTCTGGTTTTTTCATTTGGGCTTTGGGCTTCTCTTGAAGCTGCGTCCATTTCACTTCTTTTGGTCTCTGCCATGGGAACATCTTTTAGCTTTATACAATTCTCTAGACCGGGTAAGCAATGGTGCTCTTTCTCTGCTTCTCTGTCCAGAATTAGATTATTTTGTTCTTCCACATTAATTGATCGCTAAAATCACAGGAGAAAATAAATAAATAACTTGAATTAAATCTTATTGTGTTATTCATTTAAAGTGACCCACTCAAAACTGTTGGTGCCAGCTGTAATGAACTGCCAGAAGTGAAGTTCACCTTTATTACTGATGTGAAAAACTCAAGTAGAGCCCCCAAATTTCCTTATATCAAAATGGAAGTGATGATCATTATCATATTGACTCTCCTTATTTTCCAACACAGCTAAATAATTTATTAGGGAATTTTATTTTAAAAATTTATTTAGCAATAAAAATAAATATAGCTGTGCAACTTAAGCATATAACTGGATGGTGAACAATACATGTGGAGAAGAACGGTGATCATACATTCATAGCACCTTACCTCAAAATGCATATGCAGAATTAACTAATATGATTTAATCATATCTTCACATCAGCTGCAATTACTGGCACTATTCCATAGCATTATGCCAGCATAGATACTGGTGTCCCATGACTTCACCAGTTACCACAAATGTGGTCACATTATTTGGAAAGAATGATATTGTTTGTTTTACACCAGGTATCTGCCACTTTTTCTGATCCACTGGGTCAGGTAGCTGCGGTAGCAAATGTCCCTAATTTGTCATCACCTTCTCAATGGCAAAGATGGCAATAATTTCCCATGCTTTAATGTCTTAATTGCTGCATTGTACACTATATGAAGCTATCCTTGAGGGGAGTCCAGAAATTTTATTTTTTTTGCAAAAGACAACTAACTGCTAACTAATATATGAATTCAGAACCATATTACACAGACTTATCTACCCTGCTTTCCAGGCCCTATTTTAGAAGTTGTTTTTATTCTTAAAACAATAAACAGTTTAAATCCTAACTGCCTAAACAATTGCCTTGACACATTAAAGTCCAGATGTTAAGGTTAGCAGGAATCTTAAAGATGTCTTAGTTTTTGACATCTGTTTTTCAGATTTAAAGAGAGAAATCTTCCACTGTATTGCTTTCAAACTGTGAAATTCCCTGGGGACTTTCCACTTTTACTGGGGCTTTTTAGATTGATATAATATATATATGACTTTATCCATTTTTAATAATGTGCAATACATGCTTTATACCTTTTTACTAATATTTTATTATCTGCCTTGCAGCTTTAAAAAAAGTGGATTTAATTAATTATAATAGCAGCAGCAGAAACAGCCATCCTGCAATTCCTTTTTTAAATTGTAATTTTATTAAAAATTTCACTTATGAAAAAACAAATGCAAACTAAAAAAGAATAATAAGAAAAAGTATGAGGTGCAAAAAGAAAAGGAAAATAGAACAGAATATAGTAAAGAAAAAGAAAGAAAAAGAAAGTAAATTACAAAGAAATTACTTCCTTCTTCATCACAACCAGCATAGACATTGCTTCCAAGAAAGAAATGGCTCTACTAAAGGTGGACCCAATGACAATGATGGAATGATGAGGTGGTGAGTAGAAGAGCTTCTCTCTGGACAGGGGGAAGACTTGAGATCACCCACAAGACTCCAGACAGGAGCTTCTTGTGAAGAGACCACAAGACAGCAGTCTCCAGCAAGTTTAAAGCTTTGGGAGACAAGGGAATAGACACTGGGTAACTTGTTAACTCTTTTCAGCTATTAGAAACTTTTGGATCAACAAATCAGAAAACACTAGGCGAGTTTCCTTCAATCCTGAATGGTTTTCTTTTTAAAATCATGATAGGATGGGACTTTGATGATTGGCTACTGGAGGGAACTAAAAAAACCCCTTAGATTACACTTAAAGGAGATGAATATTTGCAAGATATTTTTGAACAGTGGACCCGGAAGTTAATTTTAAGAGTGTCTGCCTCTAAAGAGACTGTCTAAAAGATGTTATAGAGGAGGAACAAGTTTTACCAGACAAGTCTTTGACTGATCTATTTCCATACCAGTCCTGACATTTCTCAGTGTTATATTTTCACTCATTCATTTCAATATTTATTCATTTCATTTATATGCCAACTTTATGCCAAAAAACCCATGTTGCATTGTACCACCTGTGCAATATATTTCCACAAAAATATTGGAATAAAGAAACAATGTGATTGTGTCAGTAAGATATATGAACCCAGACATGAAACCAAGATTTATGGTTTAGCATTATATGTGAACAAGCAATTATGAGCTGTTCAAACAAAAAAGAGAGAAATGGATGAACGCTGATATAAATTGTGCATGTGCTAATATACAGTATATGCATGTATGTTTGGACATATTTATATAATTTAAATTGAAATGTAATGCATCATACCTTAGTGACTAAAACCAGGGCCAAGTACCCTTATGATTACTAATTTTATCGACAAAAACCTCATAGTCCCAGCAACTGTCCTTATCCTGAATTTTGCCTAAACATTCTTTAAAATAAGTTTTCTTTGATGGAGTCAAACTGCATTAAGATTCAGTATCTTGGGTTCATAACCTGTTCGTTTAATTGTGTTTTGTATGAATCCAGCTACTCCAGTTTATTCAATACAATATGACTTGAAACAAACCATGCTGTAACTCAACCATGAATCCAGTTCAGGTATTATATTGTTTGGGCAAATATTTCATTAACTCACCTGATTATCAAGTTCATCTTTTAAAAAGGGCATTTCATCACCTTCCTTAACATCCCATCTGTAAAAGAGCAAAATAAAATAGGGAATGTTGTTCAGTTTTCACAAAGTAGAATACAAATTCTGGTCTTTGTTGGAAGGTTTTGCATATCTTAACTGGATTGCCCCTAAGTGAACAAAATGTTCATTGTAGCATAGCTGAAACCTTGCAAGTTGACTCTCTTTACTTGGTCAGTAGTCATCCACTCATCTACATAAAGTTCTAGCTTGCCTTCACTTTATCTAATTCATGATTGATAAGGAAGTAAAAATAACAGGAAAGAAACACTGGGGTAGATCACTCTTGTAGCAGGATAATGACAATTTTATTTTTAAAATTATTAAAATTATATGCCACCCATCTTAACTCTGTAAAGTGACTCTCTGGGCAGATCCTATTTACTTATTTAATTAGGCAAAACCAACTATTCATATTTTAAAACATGAATCTGAAACTCTCCAGAACAAAACTGATCAGCGGAATTGCTTTTAACATTTGGGCTCAAATTGACTGAATTACAAACTCTCTTACCCAAATATATAGTTGTGTATACATATGTGTGTGCTTGTGGTGTGTGTTTGTGCACATGTATACACATGCACTTACACACACACACACACACACACACACACACACACACACACATCAAGCTGTGTAAATCTGTGAATTATAAGATTTGAAATTTCACTCATCTGGAATAAATCAAGCTGGTAATAGTTACTCACCATATATTGTGAGTGGTGCACGGACTAAAAACTGTATCAATAATTGTTTACAATAAATGAAAAGAGCCTGAGCAAACATCATCTAGAGCAAATATTCTTTATTATTTATTGCCTAGCTAGCCCTGTATCCTACCCTCCTATGCACTCTGCATTTGCATTCTAAGTTTAAAAAAAAACATTGTTTTCAGAAAAGGAAACAAAGCCAGCATAAACAAAACACATCTTTTCTTGATATTGTGCAGAAGCCAGATGAACAATCATTGGGGGTGGGGGTGTGGGTTAACTATTTGAAGGATTTTCAGTGGGTGTTATGTGAATGCCTTGCATGATCCAAGGCACCATTTGGTCTTTGCTTCAAAGTCCTGCAGAGTCCTACTGTGAAATTCACCTTAGACTGCATTCATTCAAACAGCAGAAAAGGTGCTAAAACTGTTCTTTAAACCCATCTCGCCTCAGACTGCCAATGAGTCATTCTTTTCCAATTAAAGTCTGGAGGGGGCACTTTCATCATGGTGTGTGTTCTTTCACTTCTTAAAAAGCCAGATGACTTATGGACACACACAAAAAGAGAAATGAATCACTCTAAGTTCCCACATGTAAAGAGGGATATATGCTACTCAAAATGAAAGCATGTATACTATAGTCTAAAAGCATAGAGAAAAAGAGTAAATGAACACTTAAATATAAGGGCCCTTTCTTCCTCCTCAAATTGTCATTTTGGTTGTCTTCCTCCCTGCAGATCTTAGAAAGCAGAGAATAGGCATTATGTGCCAATCTGTGTTCTCCCAGCATCAGATCAACACGGTAATTCAATCAATTGGATTGCCCAAGAGACTGCAATTCATGGAGTAATACAATTCCTCTCATAGGGAAGGGAAGGGAAGAGGGGAAAGGAAAAGGAGAGAGGAGAGGAAAGGAAAAGAGAGGAGGAATGTACTCCTTCCATATTTCTAGAACATGCATTTACCTATAGAAATATCAGAGCTATTGATAAAATGTTAGAGGTGGAACCTCTACAGTTGTACTGAAAATCATATTGCTAATGAAAGGATAGCATGCCAACAATTTTGCATCTAAGTGCCTTTTCTAATAGGTGTAACCATGGCTGCACATTGCTAGAATGAAGGGAAGTGAAATATATATGCTAAACAATGCTTACAAACAAGGCCTATGGACAGAATGAAGGTTGCCTGTGAAAGGAATGTAGAAAAGCCAACTGTCCAGGGACTACATAAATTTCAGAGCTCATGCCAAAGGAAAAAGAGGAATCTCCCCATCTACAAGGCAGAACAACAGCAACAAAAGATGCAGCAGCTGGGTGAACACTTCTCTCCACTCCCTGTCCTTGGAGTATGGCTATAGGGAGGAGGCAGCTATAAGAATTTGCAGACTCAGACTAGCTAAATCCCCTTTTAAAGTTCTAAAGTGGAATTTAAAGACCTCTAAATTCCAGAAGCTTATCTGTATTCATTAATCTCAAGCTGGCTGAAATTTCGATAGTGTATATAATTTAGTTTTTCCAGATTTCAGTCATCTGATTTACCTCATGCATTAGGATTATGCTAACTGGGCTGCAAAAATCTGGATCAAAGGATGGCAGCACGGAGTTAGACTGCTCTGTTTCTCTTTGTTGCCATCTGGGGTAGTTCAGGTTTTTGCAACCCAGACATCATAACCAAGCTGAAGAAGAGGAATGTGATGCTGAGCACTTTCTATTACACGTGTGTCAATGTATGTCAATGTAGTGAGACAAAATTGGCAACTGAATTCACACTTTCTGTCCTGGCAGTTAACGGTCAATAATTGTTATATATGTTATGTACAGTTATGTAATTTTTATGTAATAGTCAGCTATGTTTCCACTTAAATGGTACATAAGATAGCAAATTAGGAAAGAGTAAAATCTCAATTTAACAGAATAGGAGAAGCAGGTGTTCATTAAACCATATGTCTGTTAAATCCAAAGATTTCCTCTCCTCAATGGTATCTGCCGAAGATAAGTAAGTAACTAAAGCAACATTGAAACAGGGTGACTGGAGCCCTGCTCCCTTTCTATGTCAGAGGCCATTAGAGTTGAGCAGTTTATACATTCAAATAAATAAATATGTATTGCGTTGTGATGCGCACAAAAAGGGCAGAGTTTGCACCACAGTGGCACAATGCTGCTTTCATTGTTATGACAAAAGGTATGAGATCTGGAAATGGTCACTGCTTTGTCTCTTTTCCCTTCCCTTCTATAGGTTATTTGTCTCAGCACCAACCCTAGGAATTATGGAAAGAGTCTTTTTTTCTTCAAATGCTACAAGGAATAAAAAAATGTTGGTCAAAGCAGGAACCTCTCTGATATGCTGCCTCTCTAGTCTTCACAGCATCTTCTAAGCCTCCTTTCTAAACCTAGTCTTGCCTCCATTTGATCTTTTTCTCTTGTCAAGAACTAAAACATGAAAAGAATGCAGAAGCATACCTGGTTTTTAGGGTTAGCATAGTGTACTATCTTGCCTTGTTTCCCCAATAATAGAAGAGTTACTGCTTCCAGAAAAAAAGTTTACTAATCTGAGATCAATTAAAGCAAGTTTAGTAAATATAAAATCTACTCGATTTAATGTAGAACAAAGTAGTACAAAATCCGATGGCATCCTACTGTGAAATTCACTTTAGACTGCATTCATTCAAAGGGGCAGAAGAAGTGTTGTTTGGGTGGGCCACATTCTATCATCTAATTATAAAACAGAGATCTGGATGAGCAGAAATTTGACAGATCAAGATATTCCTGGTATGCAGGTTCATCGTTTAGATATTTGCTTTTCAAAAATTTCCTCGAGGCGAAGAGTTTAAGTAATGATAACAGCAATGCTACATGGTTTTTAAAGATTCTGTATCCTTGATGAAATACAGTACAGCAACAGTCTCAAACCTTTCTGGCTCGGTGGTCTGGCGGAGTCAGCAGCCGGGGGGGGGGGGAGAGATGGTTTTGTGTGCACACATCACTTTCACAAATGCATATGCACTTGCCAACAAACTTCTGCAGTTCAGTTCCAAACTGGCTATGGTCCAGCACTAGATCACAGGCTGCGGGTTGGAGACCCCTGCAGTACAGCATTATTTTAGGCACTATCAGATAAAAGATGCCAACTAAAGGTAGTAGACATAGTTGGTGCGTCATGTTGTCTTCCTAAGTGAATTGGGGTACAATAAATACATTGTCACCTGGGTAGAGCTACATTGAGTTGACCATCAGCCTTTATATATGGAATGAGAAAGCTTTACTTTGTTCTTCATTATAGAAAGCATGATTAAGTTGTTCTACATTTTCTCTTATTATTACTTTCATTTTATTATATAAAAATTTATACACTAATGTATACACAACTGAACAATGATAGATTGCAACCTAATATAAATGTGTATTATTAGACATACGTATTGATTGAATGTAATAATTATGATTAACTTTATTAGTTTTATTTGTATTAGAATGTATGACACTCAAGTGCCACACTGTTCATGCATTGATTTGATACATTTATAAAAAATAAAAAAAACTTAGGTGGGGGGAGAAAGCATGATGTCTTAGAATAGGCTAAGATGAGATCCAAAGTAAGGATCTTCTAATGCATCAAATTTGGTTTCTAAGTCACGAGGTATATTTACACTACTGCACAAGTGTATTCAGAGAATATTCTATTAAGACTTATTCCCAGGTAAATGTGTTAGGGTAGTAACCCTATTCTCAATTTTGTTCTTTTAAAAGATGCCAATCTTTGATGACAGGCCAATTTCAGGAACACATAAATTTGTCTGTTTTTTTCTTGTTGTTCATCATTTAGCATGCTATAGAATTAAAAAATCATATTTTTTGTTTACTCCGTTGATAAAGCTCATCCTCCACTTATTAACTTGATTAAGCTGTTACAGAACAATTAAATTCTAACTATCTAACTTTCCTATTTTCTTGCGTGACTAGCAGCTGGCTTTTCTTCCAGTCCTTGGGGCACACATGCAGAGCTATTTTTATAATAATTTAAATATCAATGTTAGCTAGCTGCAGCTCAGGATTATTAGCATTTACAGGTGAAACTCAAAAAATTAGAATATCGTGCAAAAATTCATTTATTTCAGTAATTCAACTTAAAAGGTGAAACTAATATATGAGATAAGACTCATTACACGCAAAGCAAGATAGTTCAAGCCATGATTTGTCATAATTGTAATGATTATGGCGTACAGATCATAAAAACCCCAAATCCACCATCTCAGAAAATTAGAATGTTACATGCAATCAATAAAACAAGGATTGTACATAGAACAATAACGGACCTCTGAAAAGTATAAGCATGCAAATGTACTCAGTACTTGGTTTGGGCCCCTTTTGCAGCAATTACTACCTTAATGCAGCGTGGCATGGAAGCTATCAGCCTGTGGCACTACTGAGATATTATGGAAGACCAGGATGCTTCAATAGTGGCCTTCAGCTCTTATGCATTGTTCGGTCTCATGTCTCTCATCTTTCTCTTGGCAATGCCCCATAGATTCTCTATGGGGTTCAAGTCAGGTGAATTTGCTGGCCAAACAAGCACAGTAATCCAACAGCCGTTGAACCATGTTTTGGTGCTTTTGGCAGTGTGGGCAGCTGGAAAATGAAGTCAGCATCCCCATAAATCTCATCTGCAGAAGGAAGCATGAAGTGTTCCAAAATCTCCTGGTAGACAGCTGCATTGACCTTGGTTTTAATGAAGCACAGTGGTCCAAAGCCCTGTTGCTCAGTGGTCCGAAGTCCTCTTTTCTGATATCCCTGAGATCAGCAAGACGTATTCTTCCTGTTCACCGTCTCTTCGGGACGGTTTAGGTCCATTTGGACCATCCAGCGGCAAAAGTATTGGCTGCAGTCTCAGAGCATCGAGACTGCACGACCATATCGTCGTGACATTGGCTCATCCTGAGAAGTGGCTTTTTTATTTTCCACAAACTAAGATGTCATGTGTTACTTTGGTCCAAATAAACAGCAGCAGCACTGAATCTGCTGTTGTTACAGAATTTTATGGACTGGGTCCTTAAATTACATAGTAAATAAATTTAAGAGTCATCTTCTCATCAATAACAGCAATTATAAGAGGTAGTTTTTATGAGATGGGTCCTTATAAAATGGCCATTTGTATTAATAAAAAAGCAGAGGTAAATACTACTAGCACCCCTGCAGCTTGCTCTTTTAAAGGGAAATGCTATAATTTTGCAGAACTCCCAGTAATTCAGATCTAGGTTGATATTCTAAATGGGGCAGTCAATAAGATCTGTCCTGGTGAATTTACACGTTGGACAGGAACTGCCATTAACCATATAGCATAGCTCTCATAGCTTGTTACTCTTCCTGGACAAATTCAAAATCGATTGCTGCCTAGACAGTAATCACCTGCTAGCTTTAAATCTTCAGCCTTTGAGTCAGGAATTATTTCTATTTCTGGACAATCTGTTCCAGTCAAACTCAGATATAAAATATTAGATTTTCCTATATAAAGTGGCTGAGAAAAATTAATTCTTTGTTTATGGAGATACTAAACTCTTTCTGGAGATCAGAGCATCCAAAACTGCATGCTAACCAGGCCAAGATAGCCGAGGTAGCGCAGTGGGTAGAGTGCAGTACTGCAGGCCACTTCAGCTGACTGCTAGTTCAGCAGTTCAGTGGTTCAAATCTCACCGGCTCAAGGTTGACTCAGCCTTCCATCCTTCGGAGGTGGGTAAAATGAGGACCCAGATTGTGGGGGCAATATGCTGACTCTGTAAGCCGCTTAGAGAGGGCTGAAAGCCCTATGAAGCGGTATATAAGTCTAACTGCTAAGATATCTCTAAATAAATAGGCAGTAATCAAATGCCCCCTCCCCATTCCCAATAATTTGTTTATGAGTACAATTAAACAATGAAAGATGTTGTTGCTTTCGATCATGTCTACTATTTCTTTATACTGTATAAAGATTATGTGCAGCTTAATCTAACAAGGCTCCAAGCACTAAAATAAAACCAAAGAAAATGAAGTAATATGTGCCTTGAGAATGAATGCCATCTATACTCCCAACAAGTTTCATACAAATTAAAAAGAAATATTAATTATACTTATTAACAAAAAGAGTAGTGTATTAAAGGAGGAATGGATAAAAAAATGAGTTAAAACTACTCCAACACCTAATCACTTAAGTAGTTTAATCAGTCCGACACTTAAAAACTGGGAAAAAATGTTCCATTTGAGGGTTCAATTTTTCTACAGGAACTCTGAGGGTCACAAAATATAGATTTTCAGCATTGTACTTTAGCTGTAGTAATTATGATCAGATAGATATCCATCGGGACTTTCTAATTATTTCAAAATTAAAATGTGTGCTTGGGAATCATTAATCTAACTTTATATGCATTTATGAAAATTAATTTTTAATCTATCTTTAGCTATGTTTAAATAACTAAGCAGGTTTGATACCAAATACTTTTTCAAGAGTAACAAAGTTACTCACCTGGACATGTACCTATTCAATTTTTATAGATTTTTAGCATGTATATGTCTTCCTATAGGGGCAATGTAAAAAAAACAATTAGAAATGCAATAAGTAACTCAAAACTTTATTTTTATGAAAGAGTATTTGATGTCAAATCTGCTTAGTACCTGGATGGGAGATTTGTACCAGGAAATTTCAGGTCTGTAGGCTAAACTGGGAAATCCACCCATCCATCCAGGAAGAAGACAATGGCAAACTGCTTCCATGGTGAAAGAAGTTAGATGGATATATAGGGAAAAAATATTATACTGCTCTAAGCAAGTAAAATATTCATTTACAAAGCTGAACATTTAAAATGTAAATTACATGCGTGAAAATGTTTGCAACTGAAATACCATTCTGAAATGGATGGTCGATTCCTTTAAAAGAGGACACAGATTAACACATGTGAAATCTTTTTAAATGTTACTCTCTTACCTTCTGGCTCTGCCTGTCAACCTGTCTTTCCCTCTGGCTTTACTGCTCACTACCAGCAGTGTTCTGGAAACTGATTCAGTGCTGCTCTTCCTGCGTTGCCCTCCACCTGAAAAATAAGCCACATGGACAGATTAAGAACCAAAACAGTTCAGTATCAGCAGTGGTGGGTTTCAAAAATTGTTCGAACCTACTCTGTGGGTGTGGCCTCCTTTGTAGGAGTGGCTTGCCACCCATGTGACCAGATGGGAGTGGCTTGCTGCCCATGTGACCGGATATGAAGATGCTGATGACACTTGTCAGAACCACCTTAAATTACCTCACACACAGCACTGGCATGCATAAGAATATGATGTAAACTTGTTTTTTAAAAGGCATCTTTGGTTTGCGTTAAAACAACTTCAACACACGCAATGTTCTGATTGCACCACAAATGCAGTAGTCATCCTTACCTTTCACAGAGGCACTGAGTTTTATAAATATGAGCATGATAGTGTAGAATAATCATCTCCAAGGACCAGTGGTGGGTTTCAAAAAAATTTGGAACCTCTTCTGTAGGTGTGGCCTGCTTTCCGGGTCCACTGGTGGAACCTCTTCTAACCGGTTCGGTAGATTTGACGAACCTGTTCTACCGAATAGGTGCGAACTGGTAGGAACCCACCTCTGAGTATCAGTCTAGCCATGCTTTATCCTATGATACTAGCCTACACAGGATCATTCGACCATGCAGAAAGCCAGTGATTATAGGAGAAACGTGTTGAATAAAATGAAAAAATGTCACCTTTCGTCAGATATCAGGGCTTTGGTTGAAGATTTATGCCATAGAAATTCTCCCTCAATTAAGCAAATATAAATTTGGCCATTATCTGGGTGGGAGACATGCTGTACATGTTCCCTGTGATCGTGTTCGGATGATGCAGTATACTTTCTCTGAGGGAGATGGATAGTTCAGAAATAAATAATAAATTAAAAATAAAAAAAAATCTAATTTAAAAACAAACTATTGTGCCTATGCACACTACTCCAACCCTGCCCAAAGACTCTGGGTGAAAAGGTTTGGGTTACAAGTCAAGTCACAAAACATTCCTTTCCTGGGTTATACAAATCGCCCCTTCCATGATTTGTTCAGTTGTTTTACAACAGGTCAGAAGAAGAAGTCAGAAACAAGCCAGAGAATCATTGGTTTTGACAACAGGTTAAATCAACCACAGCCAACTGCATTGTATTGTCTGCATCTGCTCAAAGGAAGTAGGCCTGTTTAGAATGTCCAGATACTCTCCTGTAACAGGGCAGAAAAGGGACATGGTGGCTTAGTGGCTAAGACGCTGAGCTTGTTGATCACAAAGGTCGGCAGTTTGGCGATTCGAATCCCTAGGGCTGCGTAACGGAGTGAGCTTCCGTTACTTGTCCCAGCTTCTGCCAACCTAGCAGTTCGAAAGCATGTAAAAATGCAAGTAGAAAAATAGGAACCACCTTTGCTAACAGTGTTCCATGCGCTTAGTGATGCTGGCCACATGACCACAGAGATGTCTTCTGACAGTGCTGGCTCTTTGGCTTTGAAATGGAGATGAGCACCGCCCCCTAGAGTCAGGAACGACTAGCACATATGTGTGAGGGGACCCTTTATCTTTAACAGGAGAGAATGACACTCTTCTACCATTTGACTGTGACTGATTTGCAGAGTCCTTAGTCAATGAAGTTGCTCAATTTCCCCAGGGTCTTGAATCACAAACGGTAGATGTAATGACTGGCAGGAGGGAGTGCCATGACAGTTGGGAATGATTCTTTCTGGGACAAACTGCTGGTAATTGTCAATTTTCCAAACATAGGAGGTGCAGTGAAGCCAGTAGGCATTTTGTTTCTTTTATAGGTCTAGGACGGTGAACCAGTCCCTCCCCCCCTCTGAAATTAAGTTGGCCCTGTTGTTGATGGCTTTCTAGAAGCAAGCTAAGCTAGGCCTGTTTCGAAAGCTTTTGATCATAATGATGATGCTGCCTAGTTCTAGTTCTTATGACAGTAATAGAAATTAATATGGTTTTAATGTTTACCCTTACAATAGACATTGCAAGATAATAAATTAAATTCTTTATCATGGACTTCTTCTTTGTTTATATTATATTTTGTAAATGATTTGGAGTCAATTTTAGAGTACAGTAATATATAGGAGAGATGAGAAATGAGAGATGAGATAGAGATAGATAGATAGATAGATAGATAGATAGATAGATAGATAGATAGATAGATAGATAGATAGATAGATAGATAGAAAGAAGTAAACTAACTAACTGTAATCCTTATCTACCTTTCTGGTGGTAGCATATGCTCTACAATTCCTGCATTCATGGTCTGTTGTTTGTCAGCCTTTCCCCCAGCTACCTATCTAGTTATGCCTTCACTGGGAGAAAAGAAAGTCTATAGAGGAGTGATAAATCTTTCTGGGAAAGAAAAAAAATCGTTCTCTTTTTTATAGCAGTAGCACAAATATCCTCCAATAATGATGAAGTCAAAGTGCAGTAAACAATGGCAGCTGCATTATAGCATTGGAAGAGAAAAGCAATCACAGATCTACTGACTTTTATACAAGTAGCAGTTGATGGTTTTTTTCCTGGAATCATCCAGGGATTGAATAATGACCTTAGGATAAAATGTCCTCTGCTATATAATTCTTTTTCAAGACACCCACAAGATAAGTAGCTTGTGAAAAGCAGCCACCTTCGGTAGTATATCTGAACAGGACTCAAACTTGCTTCTTGGATCTACTCACCTTTCCCATCAGAAGGTAGAGCTCGTAGCTGGGACTTCCGGACACTTTTCCCCCCTTGAATTCACAAAGCATGAATAATATAAAAATTTGTACACTTGGGCAAGGTGTGAAAGAGCTGCGATAATAGTGAATAAACAAAGGAAATATTTTGCTTGACAATACAATATGCCTACATACAGGGTAGAAACCTCCAATTTTTTTAAAGGAATATCTTTTCTTTTTATGAATTAGAATACATATTTTAACTTTTAAATACCACATTTAGTATTCAGTATAAGCTCTATAAATTATGTCTTCAAATCTTCTCTGTCAAACTAACCACTTTTAATAGCAGCTAAATTGTATACTGTGAAAACAGGCCGATTTATGCTAGCAACGGAGATACATAAGTGAAGTATCTCTTTGGAAATCAGGGTTTTTGTATTCTAAGACAACATAAGATTCCATCTGATGGAATCTTTCTTTTCTGAAACACTGGATACATTACTAAATTCCAAAGTTATTTGGGTCTAATAACCACTGATTTAAGATTAAAGTTTCTCTCATATTTATTTATTATAGAGCCACATAGAAGCAAGACTGCATTAGGGTTTGAGGCATGGGACTACACATTCCATCACTGCCTTCTACCCTTTATTTTGGACATTTTTGTGAGTTTCAAGTCATCATAATGTTAAACATATGACTCATTACCTAAAATGGCTCTTTAAAAAAAAGAAGTAGAATCAGAACCAAAGATTAGACAGAAAACAAAGAAGATAGTCAAGAAGTGAAATGTTCATAATTTCAATATATTTAAATCAGTACTCAACTCAACTCATTTTGCTAACCTTTTTTATTCTGGGGACAGTCCAAAACTGGTTTTCCATCCCTTATATCCTCAAACCTGCAAATTAAAAATATAATTCATGAACTTTGACAGATTGATCTTTTCTAAGTATTTCAAAGCCATCTATGGCAATGACATTACAAGACTATGATGATCTGAATTACAAAGGGTTTCATAATACAATGTTCTGTTCAGACTGTTCTGAACTATTCCAATCATTTTTATTTAGTCTCCAGAAGTAATAGTTGGTTAGGGAAAACCCTTACTGTTATGATTTCCGGTTTGCCATAATCTATATACCAAAAATTCATTGTAGGATTTAAGAGAGATGTTTATTGATAAGAGAACCAGAGAGATTTACAAATTGTATAGAAAATAAATTGTGAAGACCTTGTTTCTAAATATGCTGAGATATCCTTTTTCTCATATAGTTGGCAGTATAATACATCCACTATGGACTGCTGAATTTAAGCCATTTACTGAGAAAGAGACATTGATGTACTATCGTCTTTCTCCAGTAATCATAAGCCATTTGCCAGTAAATGTGTTCTTGAAATGTTGGTGATTTCTTGTTTACCAGATTACAAAATCTACCAATTACCTCTTTGTATAATCTGCAACATGAAGAATGCTTAGAGACTGATATTATTATGACTGGTTGCACAGTCAGCCAGATGTTTGTATTGGATTTGGCATTTTTATCCACCTTTTGAGTTCTTCTCAAGGACCTGGGATAGGTAGAAGTTGTTTGATGGCGTTAAAGGTATTATTTCAGGATATAAACTGCTCCAGGTAAAACTGCCTTTTAAAATTGTCTGATGGTGAATCTGTCAATGCTGGTGGTGTTCAAGTGATGCTCCAGTTGTTTTGGGATTGAACCTAAAGCATCTATTGCAGGGGGGTCAAACTCACATCGTCATGGTGGCGTCACGTGATGAATGGGGACTTTTTTCCCCTTCACTAAACCAGGCATGGGTGGGGCCAACATATGACACATCCAGCTTGTGGGCTGCGAGTTTGACAGCCCTCATCCATTACTATTGATACTATCTTTGCTTTCTTCTGCCACAGTCATTCTACTTCTATTTTCAGGTCTTTGGTTTTTGTGGTTTTATGCAGTTCTTTCTCTTGTATTCTCATATCACTAAGTACTGCAACCTCCACTTTGCAGACTTCGTTGTCTTTTTTATTGACAATTGTTAACTCTGGCATGTTATGTGGCAAGTTTCTGAGCTCTTGAGTTTCTTCCTTTTCTTTCTCTATTTTGTGGTCCCTCTGGGTCTTGATTGTAGGCAAATGGCATTTTTTGAGAATATTCCACTACAACAATGTTGCCACTTGTTTGAAGTCAATCCCTGTGATCTTCTTGCAGCAGCTGACTAGGTTGTCAACTGTTTCTTCAGCTTCTTTGCAGATGTTACAATTGCTGTCTGTTGCTGTCTTCTCAATTCTGGCTTCGTACTGTACTCAGAATGTATTTAGAATAACAGAGTTGGAAGGTACTTGCAGGTCTTCTAGTTCAACCCCCTGCTTAGGCAGGAAACCCTACACCACGTCAGACAAATGGATATCCAACATCTTCTTAAAAACCTCCAGTGTTGGAGCATTCACAACTTTTGGAGGCAAGTTGTTCCATTGATTAATTGTTCTAACTGTCTGGAAATTTCTCCTTAGTTCTAAGTTGCTTCTCTCTTTGATTAGTTTCCACCCATTG